CACCTTGGGTCAATATGCTCGAACAAAGTGGGAGGTTCAGTTTTGGCAGAAATTAGACCACAAAGGGGAAAAGAAGGTTTGTCACCGTTGAGTGAGATTTCCAGGGACTTATGAATCTTAAGAAAGTCTTGTCCTAGCAAAATATCTGCACAGAGGTCAAGTAATACTGAAAACTTGAAAGAGGGATACTTGGTTTGTTTGTGTTGCAACGTTAAAAAGCAATGTCCAAGAGTAAAGCTTTTGTGCTGGATCGATACCAAAGTTATCTCAGATGACGATGGTAGTACGGACCACTTGTTACGACGGACTACCTTTTCGGAAATGAAACTTTCTGAGCTGCCAGTATCAACAAGAGCTCGAAGCGGGACACCATTGGGTTTCACAGCGGTGACTGCTTCTTTTAGACACTCGGGAGCCGCTGCAGTGACGCAAGATAGCGCGCTTGAAACAGATGAGGTGTTCCGCGGACCAGTAGATCTGCAAACCTTTTGAAAATGCCCTTTCTTCCCACAGTTTTTGCAGGTCGCATCCTTAGCGGAGCATTTATATCTCGGGTGACGAGCATAGCCACAGAAGAAACATGAACACCCCACACTGGCAGCAGTCGCCTGCTCGTGCGATGACGTTTGAGAACGTGGAGACTTTTTGGTGGGTCGTTCGATACGGTGGCACAGGGGAGTTGAATGTTCGGAAAAAACGACAACGACTGTTTTTGCGCTAGTTCGAGGGACTTTGCATGGTCGTATGCGGTTTTAAAATCCAGCGACTTATGTTCCAGCAGTCTCTGGAATTGGAATAAAGTCCACTAATAAATGCGTCTCGTAACGCTTCATCGGTATGCTGTTCTGCACTGACGGCTGTAAAGCGGCAGTCTGGAAATAGACTGCGAAGCTTCTGCACAAACTGATCATGGTTCTGAGCTCCGTCCTGTTTACAAGTGTTCAAAAGATACCGGGCAAAAACTTCATTTTTCGGCTGTACGTAAATTTCTCGCAAGGTTTCGATGGCTGATTCATAGTCTTTGCAGTCTTTGATGAATCGGTAAGTACTAGGAGAGACGTAATTGAACAAGGTTTTCAGTTTATCTGGTTAGTGAGAATCAATTGACTCTAGGAAGTTTGTGAAAGTACAATACCAATGTTCCCAGCTATCTGCCGAGTCTTGAGTATTGGCGTCGGTATCGAATCGTTCAGGACGTAGGAATCGATCCATTGTTCGAAGAAAACTTTTTGGATGAATAAATTGTTGTGTACGACGACGGATGGATGACAATGGCAATCAGAATGACAATGCAAAAGACTGAGGGCTTTATTCGTCCAAAACTTTGACACTGAGAGCTGAAAAAGGAAGAAAGTGATTTAGCAATAAATTATGAAACGTTTAAAAAACAGAGCAAATATACAACACCCCCTGTGATTACCACACTCACTACTCGCGGTCAAAGGGATCTTTGGTCAAAGTAGAGCCATGATAGGTTGATGCACGGCCGGGGACTAAGTAGAGTGGCTAGTTTTTCAGCTAGTGCATAGATCGCACAATGGATACTTTTCAAGGGGATCTAACCAGCTGAGGAGATCCGTGGGACAAAGTTACACCGACGCTTATGCAACTCGCCGCGGATGTTTAAGTGCCTGAAGGTTTTTGTAACGAGGGTGCTGTAGGCCCCAGTAATATACTTTGAATCTTGTGTTTTAGTTTTTGAATGGCAGGCAAGTTAACGTATCAGGATTGTGCTCTCGGACAACCTATATTTCAACTGTTCCATGACTAGTGTCGGAATCTGCGTTGGAAACAGGTGAACAAGTTCCGGAATATGGATGCAGGGCGTTATATGTGAGTTCTGCAGAGCCGTTAATGACTTCCTTTGGGCGCGAGGCTGTTGTGTCTACAGCTGGGGTCAGCAGAAAAGTAACCACTAAATGGGATCTGAAAGGGACCGGAGGATATTATTAAGGGAAGGTTATCGCTTTGCTTCTTCACACCTTTATACTGCAACTGATGACGTTACGCGGCAACTAGTCTACCACGAGATTATTGATGTTCATGCAGTTCATGATTGTAGGTGGGTTGAAGTGCTGATAGGGTGGAAGGATTAGAACCCCCAACTAAAGTATTTAGCCCGATAGCATGTAACGCAGCTTGGTATGTTTCAGGATTGCTAGATTAATCCAGGCTTTAGGAACTTGGAGAGCCAGAAGACTTATTAAGGTCCCTATCCATCTGTAGAGAGAAAATGTATTTATTTGTGTTACAGACCCCAGTATAGCCGTGGGGGCCACGACGCCACATAAGGGTAAGGTCCGATTACTTTGAGACCTTAGAAGTTTTGTTCTATAGCAGAAAGGAGTGACTTAATGTGGAAGGTGCGAGGGCCAAAGGCTGGTCGTGTGATTGAAATTCTTGGTAGTTGGCGGTAGAGACTATTTCAGGGGAGCGTGTTTCATGGTAATAGCGCCACAGTAAGGATAGATATGTGGGAATATCCGCGCGGGACTCAGCGTGAATAAAATCGAATGGGTTAACCATTGTGTGGGACATTGTTTGCGTCATGATACAATAGCACGACATTGGTACGTCACGATCTATCGTTGACGCGTCCATGTCGAGTGACATTCAGCTCCTGGAAAGGTTCATCCGCGGGGGCCGAAACTTCGATCATTCAGTCGTAATTCAACCAAAGATATATGAACTTTATATGTAGGCGTTATGTGTCGGTTAATTAATATTAGGTAAGAAGAGAGACCCCGCTCCCTATATTACAATATCCCTCTAAGACAGGACAAAATAGGGTTTCTTCCGACGAGACCGTTATCCCGGACACGGTCCAAGAACACTGACATGCCTAATAGAACGGACTCCGTTATTCTGAACGAGTCCAAAATCGTTACGTAGGCTGGTGGTAGCCACTTGATGGTGCCATAAAGGAGGTATCACCAGCCAGCCTATTGTGTTCTGCTAATTCAAGCCCGTAGGTGCAGTTGCCGGTCCTTCGTTCAAGCAGTTGCAAAATGGCCTGAATTGATCGATAAAACATCCTATCAATCCTATTTCGTACTTTTGGTTTGTGCTTTCCTACGTAGGGTCTCCTTACTTCACGTTATCCCTCATTGATCAAGATAAAAGCAGACGGACGACTAGTGGAGCATTCAACGTCTAGTGGGGCGGTGCGAGTTCCCACTTCAGGATTTCCCACTCCATGGTGCCCTTGTGATAGATTCACTTGTCTTAACAGCCGCATAAGCCATGACTATACTGTAACAGCTGAAGTTAGTGCGCGCATCACCTAGTCACAAAAGTGTTTGCCAGCTTGCCTTACCTTTGAAATTGGAAACCAACTCCACCGGGGTAAAAGGGATGGGTCCACAAGATAACTGTATGTGCAATTCTAATCTACGGCTGTGAAACTTGGCTCCTCCGATCTAAGCATCTTCAGATATTCAGTGTTATTCCTTTATAATGGCAGACGTTAACTGGCTTCAGCATTTACACAAGCTAAGGCTTGTTAGGTCAGGGTGGCCAGGTCGTTTACTACATATGCCGAACCACCATATACAAAAGAAGACTGTTCTTCATTCCTGAATTTCTCGAGATGTAGGCTGTAATGTAGCAACGCGAAATCAAAGCGAATTATGCCAATTTGGACACCGTGGGATCTTCTCCCTTTCCTCGTGGCTCTTCTTGCGTGTGGCCTACCCCAATGGTTTCGAATTAAAAAATGTCTTTTCGACGGGAATATTTATTCATCGGGATTTCTCCGATAAGTATCGTATTGCATGCCTCCTGCTCTGTATTGACGAAGTGATACCTGTGTTCGGGTGTTCTAGGCGAGCATTGAAATTTCCACCATATCTTTGATGATTGCCCAAGATATTCGAAAATTGCATATCCTTTATTGACGCAATCTAGCGCGACGTGGTGATCGTGGTCTCTAATCCGGGTCATTGCGAATCACGGGTTTCTTTCCCGCCAAAGATGAGTAAAACTCAGCCGAGACGTTTCGTTGTGAAGGCATAATACTACGCAACAATGAAAGCGATAGTAAAGTTGTTAGTTACCTTAGCATTTTCGAGCCCTGCGTTGTTTAACTCTGTTCCTCAGCTTTATTGCCTTTCAACTGCGTTGCAACTGAAAATGTTGTTTGCTCATGCAAGTCCAAATTGTCCTTTAGGTCTTGATGGGTCCAATCAGGAACAGTTGAGTAATGTGGTGGGTTAGTGTATCAGCTGTGTATGTGACATTTTGTTTGGGCAAACAAACGCCAGGCATTTCGAGAAATAGATATTCTCCTCTCCGTTTCCGATGTTTTTTATCCTCGAAGAAGGATTGCAATGTCCAGGAATATCCTGCCGCGGAAATGATCTTGGTCGGGGCACGGTGTGTATTTTAATTGTCCGGTGACGACAGACCCGGTTAGTACCTATAAGACAAGACAGCTATCGGGATGGAATTGAATGGTGCTTGTTCCATCCAGAGTCAAGTACAAAAATAGTCAAATTCTGATGACTGGGGGTGTGCACTTTGGAGGCATTTTTCGTTCCTGGATATTCACCTAATTTAGAAAGGCGAGAGCTAGGAGAACTTTTCGGGTAACGAATTTCTGTCAGACGTAATGCGAGAGGGAGAGAGACTTCTGTCACGTGGTTGATTGTATTGTACCCCTTCCTTTCTTTTTGGGTCTCCACTCATTTCCAATCTTGCGTGTGCACATACATAGACAAGGCGTGACCCAGCTTCTGTCAGAAGTTGATGTACCACCGGCTGGCAACTAATTCCTCGGATTCTGTATCTTATTGATAGCTGGTGGACATGCTCGTCTATTTACCCACGCAGGTATCCGGGTAGGTTGAACTTTTCGAATCGCATATTTTCACGTCTGCGGATATTCTGGTTCAGCAAGAACACTTATTCTTCTCGGATTTTACAGTAAGCTTCGTTTTTGCTTGTTTGCCTTTCAGTCTGCCGTTATCCTTGATCAACTAATCACCCGTTATCATTTTCAGAATGTAAGCTCAGAAGACCGTCAGCTAATCCGCACCTGGGGACGGGCCGCCTCAATCGCAACCATTGTCGATCGCCTTTTTGGTGGAATCCTGATCAGCACGCTTCAGTGCTGCGTTTGTGGCACCATTCGAACGAGCTTTGAACCGTTTCTTGACCTTTCTTTGCCAATCACAGATGCCAAGGCTTCGTTTGGTCGCCGCACTGCTCCGGAAAAACATGAAGGTATGTTCTATTTTTTGAGTTTTGCTCAGCTACTCATCGTTGCGCCTTCGTTTCTAGCCACCCACTCACTTGAACCATCTCACCCCCATATAAATTATATATATATATATATATATATATATATATATATATAGCGGATATTCCGTTTGTTTGGCTTACGAAACATCTCCATGATACCGACATACCTATACTTGTGTCAACAGTGTTGTGAACCACAGTCGTTTAATGCCTTCGTATTACCGAGTACCTCGGTCCGGATAGCCGCTTGATCGCCTGGTGCGCTTGGTCAAACCAGAAAAGTCAATGAACGTACAAGCCAGTTGCTCTATTGCTCACTGTCGCGGTCAAATGTGATGCTAAGAATGCAACTCATCTGTTAAGGGTGAGTGAAGAACAACCAATGAAATCTGTCTCAACGAAAAACGGTTATTCCATTGGAAGTTATGTGGTACCGTTCGTCATCATCATCATCATCATTGTCAGCTGTAATAACCGCGTACTCGTCGTACAGTGGTTGTAGCTGCCGCAGTTTCTCTCACCGACAGCATACCAATAGCATACCGATAGCGCACCATAGCATACCCAGATGAGACTGACTTGAGGCCGTCGCCTTGTCCAGTGCCTTTACTGAATTCCCTTCCAGGCAAAAGACCAAACTTCATTCGGTCAGTCACATCGCTACCAGCACGAGCATGATTGCCTGTTCACACATTATAATTCTGGCTCGTCGAGCGTGTGCTGACTTAGTGATAGTAGCTCGTGCGTCTCGCATGTTGGGCTTCAAATTCCGGCATGGCCAAGCTGCGCACTTCTGATAAATCCTAATAAGACCGCGGTTGAATACGGTGCTCTGCGGTCTCGGTCTTGGATAGACGCACTAATCATAGTGTTCAGACGAAAGAGGTTGTAACAGTGGTCTATGGTTGACGTTGACCGATGAGCGCAAACCGTATCCAAAAATCATGTATGCTGTTTTCGTCCGAGGTCTGGCTGCTCACAACCGAGCGATCTTCGAACGGACGCTCTAGCAGTCGTTTTAGAAATTGAAAAAACTATTCAGGATGTAGTGTATGCCTAAATGAGCCTTCATGGCTGGTGTTTTTTTCATATATGTATATTCCCTTTGGTACCTAACTGCTCATGCGGACTTTGCTTCGTGCATCCTCGTTTGGATCTACATCAGTTGATAGATGCCGTGAAAACTGTCCAATTCTTCTTCTGTTTTCCTCTAGGTGTTGGGAAGTCAAAGCAGGAATTAAAACGAGATGTGAGTCTTTACAGTGGTGTGTTTCTATTCCCAGTCTTTGTTCGTTAATATTCTTGCGATTCCTCGTGGCTTCACACTATGGGCTTGGCGTGCGGATTGACAACATGGTTTCTGTTATCTCACTCAATTGTGAACTGTGATGGTATTTACTTGAAATCGGACGGTTAGCTTACTTGCTAGCTGGTTGAACAGCTGAAGGAATTATTCTGTGTGTCTGGGACTACTGGTGTGGTGTACGACAATCTTTTTCGACTTAAATGGCTCGGTGACCGACACCCCTCCAGAATGGATCTTTATGGAAGCCTAACTGGCGAATTGTGGTATCGCTCCGAAAATTCGGGGAATTGACGGATAAACCCAGTGCTTTGATTTTCACTGCTATGCCATCGTTCTTAAACCAATTGGTGGTCTGTGTTTGTTGTTTACCCACTGTGCCTAAACATTCTGTTTTTTGTGCTTGTGACTTGATTTCTTGGATGCTGAGTAGATTTTGGTAAACTTTCTTCACAGTTGTCTATCAGCTGTTGAGTTATGAAAGCAGTGTGTCTGTACAGTGTCCTTTTCGAAGGTCTGGAATGTTCGTGCTTCGAACCCGATCTCTGCCCCTCGTCTCGCCCCTGTCTAGGCTTGGACAACCCTACAATATCCCAGTCCTCGTGCTTCCTTCGGCTGGCATGGTAGCTAGACACTGGAAGGATGTTACAGCTGAACGTTTTTTTTTCGAAAGAAGTTTTTGGTATATGGGGTAAACTGCTTACAAAGGATGCCTGGCTAAAGCAAATATTTCTTCTCTCTTCTTGAAAGCGCAAGAAAAAGAAAAAAGGAAAGCCGAAACGTGAGAACCGCAGAAGGCTCAAACAGGAGATGGATTGCCCTGCAGTTTCGTCCGACGGAGACTCGGTAGATGAGCCTGTCGAATCTGAGTCGCCTCCGCTCAACATGCCGTGCTGTTTTGTGACTCCGGCTGATGATGATGCAGTTGAGTCCAAACCGTTGCAAGAGCAGCTACATTGTACTAGCGACCTCACAGCTGATGGTGTTGCTCCCGGTAAACCTGTTGTTCAGACTAATTCTAATGGTGGTAAGCACCAGTTTCTGGTTCCGATGACTGAACGTTGGTTTTCGAGGATAATGCAGCTCTTATTTTTCGTGTGTAGAAGTGCACTTTTGTGCGGTGGTCCCATTTCAGGCTAACTCACGAATCTTGCAACGGAAGTGAACTTTGCAATCAAATTGTCCAGCTCAGTGAACAAACCAACGACCATCTACGCTACCTGAACTACCAATGTTTTCCTCTATAGAAAATGAACTTTCTATTAATTCGTCTTGCCTTTTAGCGACGGATACTTAGCTAGTATGCGAGTGAGACTGACATTAATGCAAGCTACAACTACAGTTCCAGTAGGGTCTTTTTCTTTTCTTTTCGAGTGTCTCCTGTTTTGTTTCATCCCAAGGTTGGCATCTATACGTCGCCGTCCGTTATCTGCATCCAAGAACTAATAGAAAACATCGGAAATTCGGAATGATACGAAGTGCAATCAAATCAGCTCAGTGAACAAACCAACGACCATCTACGCTACCTGAACTACCAATGTTTTCCTCTATAGAAAATGAACTTTCTATTAATTCGTCTTGCCTTTTAGCGACGGATACTTAGCTAGTATGCGAGTGAGACTGACATTAATGCAAGCTACAACTACAGTTCCAGTAGGGTCTTTTTCTTTTCTTTTCGAGTGTCTCCTGTTTTGTTTCATCCCAAGGTTGGCATCTATACGTCGCCGTCCGTTATCTGCATCCAAGAACTAATAGAAAACATCGGAAATTCGGAATGATACGAAGTATCACATCGTTTGGTTGCAATTCCAGTTACATAAGCTGAATTGGGAAACTAAGTCACTACACTTCGCAATTAGCTGTTCCGAAGTTGGGTTTCGAATAAGGGCTCACACAGGGAATAGGCCGTCATGAACTTATATGCAGTCGAGAACTCTTTGCACATTCCTTGCATATCTTCGTTAATCCTTGTTTTCTTCTCGGCTGCCACGCAGCTCACCTCCTCTAGGAATATAAAATCTATGTATGACTGTGGCTTTTGTTGTTGGATGAAGCCTAACCTAGCCGTTCTTCCCATTCGTCTATTTTCGACCCATATTTCCCCGTTCTTCATTGTCATTACTGCGACTGAGCGATAGGAACCTCGTCGTCACCAAGTTCTAACAGCCTTTCGGTTCATAGCTGCCATTTCTTTCGTTGGGAACCATAAAGGCTGAGATACTCCAGTCTAGACTGGAGCAGTCGAGATGCCGAAGTTGGGTTCGAGTCACGGATCTTCTAGTCAGTAAGGCCGCGCCTCAACCACTGAGCTGTCTCGCCTTGTCAAATTTCGTTGACAGTGTCGTAGTTTTCTGCATTCTTTTTCAGTGCGCTGCCATGCCAACCCAAATATCTAAGTTCGTTTTTTCATTCTTCTCCATCCTACTGTTTGGGATGGTGCAGTGAGTTGCAGCGCGCACGCCATAGCGACGAGCTTATGGATGCCGCCAAGAGCGAGTGGTTGGAGATGTCAGATAAGATACGTATAACAGAACGCGCTAATAGCTCACGTTGATTGGCGTTCTATTGATGGTATCACCTCAAGCGGTGATGAAGCGCTTTCAACAGAATTGTCACTTTTGGTAAACAGTTTGGCTACCAGTATATAAGACATCCGAATGTCATGCATCAACTACTGAGGTAAACGGATTTGGAGAATCTTCAGCAAGGATCTCGAGTATACATTGCAACTGAAAACTGAACGTTGAAATCGGCAACCAAACGTATGATTACATCCACACCCGATTCATTGTGGAGTGGCAAGGTGGACTTTGACAGTTGTTCACTTGGAAAAAATAGAGTGAATTGTTCATGCAGTCTAACTGGTTCGACCTGAGGCACTGTTCGCGGAACAGTGTTAAGTGAAAATGCTCTTCCGTCTTGCTTCCGTCGGGTGGCATTACATCTAGAAACCGAGAGGATGTTCCTGCTGAACGGATATTTTTGTTATTCTCTGGAAAATATCTATTCTATTCCTGCTCATGGCGTTTGTATTCTCATGGTTTGTATTTTTGTTGATTGTTGTTTACTGCGTTTTCTTTTGTTTCCTGAAACTTTTTTTTCGACAACTGATAGGACTGGGCAGGTGATGAAACTTCTAGGTCGTAAGACCTACTTCTACGATATTATTCGCCATCGAAAAGTGGTGTTTCTCCAGTGCAGCGTCATTCTGATTTTCGACGGTGACAGTCGACATCGTATCAGATATCTCAAGTTTAGAACTAGAAATCTTATTGGTTGTCGATCAGATGGTTGTTGATTTGTTCACCGAGCTTGGATATTGCATTCGTCACCATACGAGGAGACATCATCAGTGCGCAGTTTGATGCGGAAAAGTGGGGTGGCTCAAAATTCCAATTAAACTTAGAATTTCTGATTGTTTCCATACTGGCCTTGGAAAGTAGCATTAATACAGCCTTCACGCCTCCTTCGGATCGGATGGCAACCACGTATCGAAAACATAAAACATCCAAACGATTTGTTCTTATTTTACTGGAAAGTTTTTTTTTGCTTTCTTGTATTTCCATTTTTTCAACCTTCCGTTTTGCACATAACGTGGAACCGGTAAATTTCTTTTACTCTTTGATGGGGATGCTGTACAGGTATGACCCTAAGACACTATCTTTGTATTAGGTTGCTTTTTTTCACAACAAAAACTTCACACTCACTCTTCGCCATTGATCCAGTCCGTGTTAGGTCATTAACAGATCAACATTCTATCTCAAGTTTAGAGTGAATGAACGCTCGTCTAGAAAGTGAGGCTGTCACCTCATTTCAATATCCTCACTTGTTAGGTCACTGTGACTCGAATTCAGCTACCTACCAAAGTCGTGACAGAATAGAGTAAAACTCCTCTAGCTTGACCACTTTTGTTCGGCGTCGTCGGGTTCCTGCTTTGCATTCTTCAAAATGTACCTACCTGGCTGGAACCGACAACTAACAAGAATATGACTAAAAATCGGTTTCAGCTCCGATCTTCTGTGTCCATTTCACCTGGCGGACTTTCATGTGTAACCTGTGCTAACCACCTTATTGGAACGACCACTGTCTTACATAGCGGTGGAAAAGGTAGTTGTATATGAATTTTCCCGCTCTACTACACTATACTATCGCATACTACACTATGCTATAGTATACCATACTATGATATACTATGCTATACCATATTATACGTTTATTCACTAGTGTTGGAGAGCACTATAGGTGGTCCGTGTTAGGGCGGCGTGAAATCAATGTACAAAGGTGGTAGACGTTCTCTCTGTAAGGGTCACAAAAGGAGTACGGCGTCTCGCTCTGGATGGACTCTATTTTAGTTTAAATAATGCACACAGTGTGCTCAATTCGTGGTACATATCAGGAGAGTTGTCGGCTGGCTGTTCCTTTTGAGGGGTCGAGTGATAAGTCTACACTTTACACATAATATTACTGGTTGCATGACTTTTTTGCTGTCCACATTGACTTTATGCGTAAATCCATTTATTTTTTTCGCGCAGTTACCAGCCAACCATCTTCCGTCGGATCAATGTCACGAGTGGCTTCAAGTGATTCATCCAATGGTGAGAAATCGATTCTCCTTCGTTTTTACTTTATGTTGCCCTGTTTTCACCAGATGATTGAGAACTGGGCGAAAAACAGTCCAGAAACTAAACTTATTGCAAACTAAGGCGGTGATTTTTGATTTTCAAATATAGATTTTATCCCGCTATCAAAGCTGAAGTATACTGAAAATCCGAGCGGCAATATACAGTTGTTTCTGTCTTGTGTGGAATCGGTGTCTCTAGGACGATCAGAATCCGCAGTCTATAGGGTAAATAAATAATAGGCACCCACAGTACCTAGCTGCCGTGTCATCCGAAGGGAACATGAAGGCTGAGATGTTGCCAGGCTACCCAATTCTAGACAAGATTAGTCGAGACTTGTAGGTTGCGTTCTATCCACGGGCCCTCCAGTGAGTAAGGTCGTGCCTCAAACGCAGCCATCTTTAGCTCAGTCAGTCACTAGTTCAATACCATGGCGCTTGGCCACGCGTTACTTTCCAGCTGTACGCAATAAACTTGCACGTAGACATTTCATAGTTCTTTAGATATGCAGTCCACGGGGTTTGGCATGGCTGCCCGCGTTACGATTTGTTGGATGATTTCCTTTCTGTGCAAGCTACTCCTTTCTTGTAGTTACTGAGATATCCTGTGCTCCTACAAGTCTGCTCGTTCCTTACAGCCTGTTAACGTGAGATCAATAAAGTGACTTACGAGCAAATCTGTGGATAGACTTGAGATGGTTGTGTTCATCTCTGTAAGTCAGTATTTTCCAGATAATTTGGTCCATAAAATGCTGTAAGTGGTTATTCTGAGGTGGCCTATCCACCCACAGAATATCAGAACAACGAAGTCAGTGGGTATGTCATATGGATTGTGCCTCCTACCAGCCTATTCGAAGTTAGGCACCCACATCTTCCTTATGCATCCCCCTTTGTTTACATGAAGGTTTTACTGGTGACTGCTGTGTCCTCTGGGTGATTCGATACGAATGTTCCTGATCCTGTTCTCCGGCTTCAACTTTGCTTATCCACTGTCTCTGGAAATGTACTGTGCCCCAGTTCCACTCATTACCTGAACCCAGGCTAGAGGGGCTGTTAACAGGCCCGTTATATAAAGACTTTTGCACCGAAAACCACTCAGAAAGCTTCGGTTAACTTTTATTGCACGGTATACGCGTGGCTTCCTGGTGTTTTACCGTTGGACTTAATAGACGCAGAAGTGACAAATGTCGAACAATCTCCGCAGTGTTCTGAGGGTTGACATTTGGTCACTGGCTGCTGAATTTCCGTATTCATCTCCTACGTTTCCCTTCAACGAGTGGACCCAGTAAAGCGATGGTTCTCTTGTACTCTTTTCCGATTTCTTTCAGTTGGAATCTTTTATGAACTCCTAATAGTGAATTGTTCCTCATGAAGTGAACCCGAAACAACCAAAAGAACCGAGGTGGGGTTTATTTCAAGTGATTAGTCTGCATTACACTCGTCTTCGCACCGCATGCGTGCCAATCCTAGCGGCTAACACGTAGGCGAAGTTTGTTTTGTATACCCAGTGGCAGTGTATATCTCCCTTAGTAGCCTGAGATGGACGCAGACTCAGTTGAACCGGTCGAATTCCACCCCAACCCGCTCCACTGAGATCAACGCCTCCAACAGAGCTCAGTGTCCCACTCGCTTATTGTCAGCCGACGAAAACAGAGAGTTCATCTGTGACGAACGCCCAATTCCCGACGCGACATTTTTTGTTTGATGTCTTTTCTGTTGAACCACATGTCCAACAGCAGAGTGATAATGACGTCGGATAATTCCAACTCTAACCGGAGAAAATGACAACAGCTCTCCCTTGGTATGGAGTTTTCTTTTAAGTCAGAGCACAACGTGGAAGAATGAGATGTCGTAACCCAGCGTTTCGGTTGCCGTGGGCAATTTCTTCCAAGGATTTCTACAGCCAATTAAATACGAGTCAATTGCGGTGTCATTTGGGTCCTCTATCGTTTCTCCTGATTGGTTGTTTCCTGAGATCTCAAGAACACACCAATCAGGAGACATGATAGCGGACCCAAATGACGCTGTACCTGACTCCTATTCACTTGTTTGTAGAAATGCTTGTAAAAGCTTGCCCAGGATACCCGAAACTTTGGATTATAATATATTATTCCATTACGATGTGTTCCGGCTTTAAAAATTCCTAAATACACCACATGGCTCTTCTATTTTTGGGAGTCATAGACGTTTTTCTTCTCTCATTGTTCCTCCAAGGTTGTTCTTTGAAGGCACTCTCCCGAACGTTTTAAAAAGGATGCTTGTGAGCATTAGCGATTTCTTTTCTTCGTATGCACATAGGTGGTTGCGCAGATGCTGAAGACAGTGATGAGGACCGGATATACATGAAAGCCATTTCACCGTGCGATAACGAATTGTCCCCTAATTCTACCCTTCTGAAGCCCGATGCCTCTGATAATGCAAATGACGAAGGGTCCATTCTGGTCGAAACAAATGCGTACTTGGCAAATCAGCTAGCCAAAATCAACCTTCAATCACACGATTGTGGACCTTTGGGGGCTGAGGAGCTTCTACAGGCCAGTCGATTATCTCAGCTTCCTTTACGTTCATCAACTTCAGAGCGGTGTGAATTTCGTTCTGGGGATAATGATGAATCTTTGTACACATGTCTATCCCGTTTTACCACTCCCGAACACTTGTGCGGATCTAACCGTATTCAGTGCGATACATGCAGTGGGCGACACCCGGACGATCAGTCAGATGCCTCTGAGTCTCATGCAGCTCCAAACACCCGTGTATATCGAGACGCGATTCGTCGAGATCTAATTCTGGAGCCGCCCGCATTATTAACCATTCATCTGAAGCGTTTTCAGCAGGTAAGCTCACAGTCGAAGTGTCCCTGGGTTCCAGGACTACCTGGTAGAGTGTAGTGTAATTTCGGTGCCAATACAATGGAATAACGGTGAAATCTAGACGTATTTCACGTTATATTTCACTGGGATGAATGAATGCTGATCTACTTGAATAGTCCGTAAATCTGGATGTTGTCATTGCGGCCCGCTTTGAACGGTTCTACAACTGTCACTACTGCTTTACTTGTTTGCAAATAAGTCCGCACATTTCGAATGGTGTGCAGCAGGCGCGGTCAGTTTGACTTTTGCTGTACCAGATTGTTTTTTGTTGCGCATGAACTTTTCGTATGCCTGTCCTCGTTGACCTCATATTGGTGTTCGTTGTTCATTCGTGTTTACTAATTTAGTTATTACCAGACATTAATAGCACTCTCTTGCAGTCTGGCTGCTTTCATGGCGGTGGTTTGGAATTCTTGACTTTGCAATTTTTCGTTTTACTACCTGTGTAAGGGTGATACTGCTGATGGGGAGGCACGCGAGTAGTATGTGTTGTTCGTGGAATTTTGCTTTGTGTCTTTTGGAAAGGGGAGATCTGTTGCGGAATTCGTGGAGTCGCTTTGTAACATTTGCTTGGATTTGAGCGAGGAATGATTGGAGTCAATGAATCTCCAGGAAAGTTCAAGAAGACGCGTTCAGGAGAAGATGGATGTCCAGTTTTTGTAAATAAGATGCAAATTAGAGTTTTGCTTCCCTGTCCAATGGTCTGTAACTGGTCAGTTGGTATTTCTAATAAGTAACTCCGCAGCGAAGACCTTCTTCCTTTTACCTGTATTCCTGGGGACGGATCCTGTTTTTGAGTCGATGTTTTGTCCGTCAGCTTGTTCGTCCGTCATGCCTTAGCCGTGTTTGTCGGTTCATCATCATGAGGAATGACGGAAGATCTCAGTCCGAAAAAAAACACTTCAACGTTATGGCTGTGATATAATGTTCAAAACAACCCACCAGGTATCTCCGGGCTCCACCATTGTCATAGGGACACCAAATTCTCTCATCATGCTGCCTGTCTCAGTCTTTATCGACCTCCTATGTACTCTAGCCTGGATCTGACTTTCATAGGCGACGCAAGTTCGTCCAGGGCTTGAAATTGGTACATCTAACCACATTGAACCTCATGGGAGTGACAAAATGTTCGACTACCGAGATTAACATTGTCACTGATGACTGACCGCACTTGATTCACGTTGACACGAGTGAACCACGTCCAACCTATTTTCAGTAATCTTATTGTCACCAACACAGGATGAACATTTCCTTGAATGGCCTCACGTCTTTTTGTTTCCGAAGTCACTTCTTGGGGCGAGATGCCTCAGTGGTTAGAGAGCGAATTTGCCGGCGGACGGTCCGTGGTTCGAAGCCGACCTCTGCTTCTCGACTTCCCCTGCCTAGGATTGAATACCCTGGCAATATAACAGCCCTCGTGCTTCCTTACAGTGGTATGGCAGTTAGGCTCCGAAAGAATTTATTACTTCTTTCGTGAAAGCGAATTCTGTTCATCCGAATGATACGAATGAAGACCACATTCCGTCGAAGCAGTTTGTTATCGGTCGGCACAAATTCGTTATGTCCATGGGTGTGATAATCTCAAACAAATGCATTACTTGTATAACAGTTGGCGATAATGATATGAAGTTCGTAATGTTTCCTAATGTAGTGGCTCCAACAAATGTCTCGATCGAGTTGGATTTAGAGACGGAAAATTTAGTTCGAAGTTGCACATCAGAAACGACTGAAGTTCTGGACTAATATGCATATTCAGCCCAACCTGCTTTTTTCAGGAACCTCTGGCTACCAAGTCTTCGCTTCTATGCTGAGTCCCAATCAGTTTGAGTTTCATCCCCCCTGAAGAGTAGTGTCCTTGAAACGATATTGCGAATGAATCTTTTGTGGTATCTGAGAAAGTTTCCACCTTAGAATCGCAGCTTTCAGTATAATTCGCTCAAGTTTAGCACATCACATTTTGAAGGATGGAAGCCCGACCAGCCATGGACACTTATCCGCCAAGTCCTGTGCATTTGGTGTGAAATTGTGGCTTTAATGTACATGAAATTTGCATTTTATCTGAGTTAACAAGCCTGTGCAAGAGGAATAATGCCAGCGAGGCTAATTTCTATCATCATTGCTGTTCGATCATATTGTAACTCGCGCTTGTACTGCCTCTCACTGATCATTTCGTTTCCACGTCCTGGACAGTTTCGCAACAACTTGCAGAAGTCACAGAAGCCCGTCAAATTTCCTCTCATATTGGACATCAGCCCATTCTGCTCCACACTGTATCTAGTGAGTTTTTAGCTTCCATCTTAGCTTTCTTAATGAGCGTGTTTTTAACTGTTTTTCCACTTAGGTTAACCCTAGCTATTACCGTAATTGCCGGTTTAGACGGTATGTGGTTTCATCTCTGTCAACTCTCATAAAAGTTCACGCGGGTTGATATCTGCCCTTGTGGGTTACCAGGTTTATAATCAGTTCCGTTTTTGGTCCCACTTGTTGTTGGGTGTGTATTTTCAAATGACTAAGCACGAGGTACGTGAGAAGTGTGTTAGAATAATGCTTAGGATACTAATAGCCTAATGATGAATTTAGAATTTTGCACGTCTGGTCCATGGACCATAACAGTCCATCGCTTTGCAAAACGATGAAATTGAAATGTCCCAAAACTGTTCAGGGTGGTATCACATGGGATGGGACTGGTGTGTTTGCTTTGCATTCCGAACAGACCCCCCCCCCGCAGCCTGCCATCGACTTTGCGCACGCTTCGGTCGTCTGTTCTTCTCAGTGCTGCAGTAAATAAGCTACTTGTTTTACCATCAGTAGTTGGCGATAAGTATGTGATTGTCTTCGTCCTGGACTTCTCTGGGACGATGCTCGGTGTCATAATGACACCTGATTCACAGCGCTTTTTTGATGTACATGTGTCTCAGATAACCAGATATTGACTATTTACCGTGGAAATATTCTCATGTGCCTCACCATGTGGATTATGCTTTCGATAGAAGCATGTACGGGGATTAAAAGTGAATTCATGCTGGCTACGTTTTTTACGTTTTTACCCTTGGTGCGCCCGCAGTGTTTGATATTTATTTTGAAAAATGGAAAACAAACTCCTGAGTTGGTTTTTATTCTTGTTTTTATCCATTCCAGTCGCCTTGCGATTCTGTTTGTTATCGACTGTACGGCGTGGTGGAGCACATGGGACGTCTAGCCGGAGGTCATTATGTGGCTTACGTCGCTGCCACTGCACCTAATATTGAACAGGATGCTGAATCCTCGCCAGCATCTGATCGCCTAAAAGGCTTTCTGCAGAAATTTGTTGGATCACTGGACCATCCGCCGAAATGGCCACTTACTGTGCACGACCTCGTCAGACGCCTCCGACGCTGCAGTCGATCTCAGTTGCTTCACTCCGTATCGGAATTGTCTTCCATTGTTAATCGGGACACAGATTCACCTGATTCTACGGAGAACGAAGCGCGGACGGAGCCTGAGGAAGCGGATAAACGCACTTGGTTCCGGTGTTCGGATAGTCATGTTTCCTGGGTACCTGTGAGCGCTGTGCTGGAGTGTCAACCTTTTTTATTATTCTACGAGCGGATTACCAGTTGACCCCCTTCCTCTCTTGAGAATGTCGCTAATTGCCGTACCTTTCGTTGTACAGCAATGTTCATGATGTCTTTCCTAGTTTTCCAAGAGGATACTTCTATATACAAAGTGATCGCATCGTCTTCTCACTACCATGCACAGTTTTCCCCTTTCATTTCACTAATCCTTTCAGGGTGTGCCACAACGTGTCAGCGTTTTAAACTGCTAGAGCTCCTTTACTGTCTTCGTAATTCTTCGGTTGGTGGGTGACTCAGATTCGTTGTTTAATTCTCCCCCACGTAACCTGTCCTATGAGAAACCAGTGCACACTCCCTTGGAAAGCCGCCTAGATCACTGGTTGATAGGAAAGTAGAATATTGTGCTCTTGAATTCCCCCAATACTTTGTGGAATATAACACCGTTAAAGGGTGGAAAAGCGTATTCACCGTCCAATTAAAGTCGACTTTGATGTTTTTCCCCTCCGCAACCCGGTAACTCACAATGTGACCAACGCAGGTGGACAGCTTGCTCTGTTGAAAACGAGAGTTGATTCCGATGAAAAGCACTGAACACATCGGTTGCGTTCGGAAATTGTTCCACGCAGAACTAAAAGCCGTAAAATGCAGAGATGATTTGTCTCCTATCCTGTGAAGTTTATCGTTGTAGCACCAGACAAGCGCCGCTAACCTTAATACGTGAAATGTATTTCTTCACCAGGGCAAGAACTAACGACCATTAAAGGGCGATATCGTGTCCGCTTTTCATGTTTATCCTTATTTTTGCACTTTATATCGATTAATATCAGCTCGTTATGCGGCGGAAGCATTTACACTGACGATTTAGTGATACTCTGAGAGGCCGTTACTGGTCACTAAAAAAAGAATCAGCCGGTTGTTTCATCGTAAACGCGAATACTTTTTAATGTTGGATTCACACTCATTCTGTTCCTGAGGACCAAACTTGGTGGACACAAATTGTTCTTATTTGTTCATACTTCTATTTTATTAGAGGTACAACACAATCACACACTCCAGAACGACAGCATTGACGAGAGTTATTTGGATTGGCCTTTTCCTTTTTCAGTTTAGAGCAGGGCAATGTCAACATTCACCGGTTGAAGCCTGTAATTTTTAGTGAGTACAAACCGTTTAGTGGCATGAAAGCAAGAAAAAACTGCAACTCGTATCAGACCTTTGGTTTTTGCTACAACTGACCGTGAACCCTGCATCCGGAACCTAAGTTGTGGAGAAGACTAACTAAACAAGAACAGAACAGCTTTGTTCCTAACAAGCGAGCGCAAAGTGGTTAGGATCGTCGCTGTATTTGAGGCGTATTTCTGGCCTTGAATCAAGGCTTACCGGTGGATATTGAGTGGCTGTGTTAGTGATCCGGTTGTAACGTAATTAGGTTGATTATCAAAAGGTAACAAGCACTAACGAATGTCTTTTTTACTAGAATGATTATGATTACAAAAGTTATGTGCACTTGATAAAAATAAGTTCAATGCAAGAAGGGAATGAGCCAAAAAGTGACTTATCGTTTGGAGACAACTGTTGAGAATTCCCGAGTGAAGTTCTTGACGCCGGACATGTCTTCTCTGCAATCTAGCTACTACATCGTTCCGTAGTTGTCCGTGCAGACCTGTGGGGCTGGGCTGACTGCCTGTCCTGTGCGTTTGCGTTTGGGCCGAGTTGCATGCCTATCTATTATGCGTAGTGTGGAGAGAGGGGTGTCCCTTCGTGTTTGATACTTGCACGAACATAAATACAGCTTGGCCTGCTGTGTTGAAGTTCGTAAGCCTTACGCGTGACGCAGGTGGTAGCCGCGTAAACAAAAATGGATGGGAAATTGTAGTATACATGTTGTCGGCAAATGTTGCAAGTGGGACAAGAATTGAGCGTCTGTGACGCGTGATCTAGTGAGGGACCGCTACAGCCGAATGGAATCGCTTCTGACACCCAAGAACCGTCGGTCATCGTTGACTAGCTGCCTGGATGTCGACCGACAGCAGGCTCTTTTGGTCTGGAGACTCGGTGGATCTCTTGAAGAGGTGAGACTGGTGGTCCATAGGGCATTCAGGGTTGTTTCCAGGCACCTAACCTTCCTGTCAGTGTGGATGATCTGTACACCCTCTGTTGATGAACACGGACTCAGCGGTGATCGTGAACTAGTTGCTCGCTATCTGCCTTACGATTGTGCTGGATCGAATGAGTGAACTGAGTAGTCACCACGGTCGAACAGGATCTGACAGCGTCTCTAATCCCTGCGACTATATGTTCAGCCTGAACACCAATAAGTTGTTTGGGTGACCGAGAGTCAGCTGAGTTTTTACGTGCTGGAAAGTCATTCTACAAGAGTAGCCCCTCGTAACTTCAATTTGGACAGAAAATAGAACGGCAGTCAGGCATCCTATTCATTGTCACAATCCCGAGAAACCTTCGACAAGCCCAGAAATTTGAGAACCTTAGTTTCGGATGTTTCTATTGGTATGGCTAGATCTGTGCAGTTAGAATAGGAAATGGTGAACTGGAAGGCACTTCTAACGCTGTCTTGATAAAAATCATAATCAATCAGGTGTAACACACTCTCGGTGCATAGCTACCGCGCCACTCAAAGTAAGCGCCAGCGCTGACCTAAACAGGGGAAGTTGAGAGGCGGAGGTCGGTTTCGAATCACGGAAGTTCACGCTCTAACCACTAAACCATCTTGATAAATTGGTCTATAGCGGAAAGGAATCCACTGAACAATCGTCTGGAGCACAACTGCTGAAGAACCTTCACCTTCAAGCCTGAAATGTTTGATAAACAAGTGTACTTCGAAAGCTATAAGTAGCTGTTTCTGATATGGCTGGAATTGTTTTGCCAAATAAAGGGACCAGGTTCGCACCTTTTTACCTCTCTTCTCCATGAAGGGACATGTACCAGAACCCGCCGGTGGATTCTTCTGGATGATTATGATGATCGATTCATGGAAGACGTTAACCGCTTCATTTTCTGACAAGGCAATGACCGTAGACAGTTTTATCTGAAAACTAGCTATAAATCAGCTTGTCGTCTAGGTGGATGGAGAGTCCGTTGAATGGTGGTGCTGCGGAAAGTAGTTATCCCGAAAGCGTTTCTCCGTTGTTGGTCTGTTTGCGAAAAGATCAAGAAAATGCACTTCTGACTTTCATCCAGGAAACTTCAACACTATCTTAAAGCGCTCGCCAGAACATGGTGCTTCTGGTAAATCTTTGTGAATTTTGCAGGTTGGGTGCCTGCATTTTCATTACTACACATTAGTTAAATTTACTCCAGATGTCATATTGATCAGTCGAACGACGTCATAGTTATACGGTGTATTTCTTACATGAGACCTAGTGGATAGCATACAAAAATCGAGAGACCAAAGTAAGGAAAACTGGCTGGCTTACGAATGCTTGGCTGCAACATACTTGTCGCAACCTCACCCCTGTATCACCAGCACCGTCCTGCAGCATCGAGCGTAAGGATCAACCAACACGAAGGTTTGCTTACATGTCAGCGTAACTTGTTCTGGAGAATTAGCAATAATTTGTAATATCGTTTTCGATCACTTCGCCCAATCTATGTTCGCTTGTACGTGAATACTACCTGCTGCGAGATGTCCGGCGCTTGTATGAACGGAGTGACAACCTCGATGCACCCCAGCGGATCGACTCGTGCTCATCTATCATCAAGCGGTGAGGAATTCTAAAATAAGGTGGATCCTCACCAACAAATCAGTTGCAGAACGACTTCAAATTTCTCCTGAGTTGAAAAATGCTACTGGAATGCGCAGTTAGTAATACACTTTCAGACTGTTCATGACGGCAATATTTTACACACGGTACGACAGTATAACACTATTGGTGTCTTGCTACACTGCCAGTAGATGAATTAATGACCTTCACGGTGCTCGCATGAACTTTCAATATTCAAACACTAGTTAGTGTCAGTTTACTCTAGCTGGCCAATCCTAACGTAGGAATTATAAGACTGTTGAATCACAGATTTGGGTGAATCAATCCATGCTAGTTTATACATGCAAATGAATTTATCGATTTCACAACGATCAAACTGGGAAAATGAAGTGGCACAACGCTCCTGGTGCAATCATTATCATCGTGTTTTTTTTTAACCATAGATCAGTCGGTGCTAGGCTTGCCTGTGCCAAGGGAAATGCGCAACTAGACATGCACACGGTATGCTGGACAGGTGCGAGGGCGTTCATTGTGAAGACAGGAAATCGAAGAACATAAACAATAGTGGCTTGAACGGTCGATTAATGTGAATTCAGCCACCGTGTATCAGGAGAAACACCGAACATTGTTTATGCCCATAAACCAGAGGACTCTAACTAGGAATTCTGCGCGTCAGCAGCTATCCGTCTACCCACGCGAAGGACACGTGCCTGTGCCAAATGCACATCCGAAAATCATGCTGAAGTTGGGTTCTTTAATGAACATCCAATGGCTCACCGAAAAGCATAGCGTGTAGCGTTCGTCGGTACTGTACAGTTCGGACATCGCGTACAGCGGTTTTGATGGTGGTACTAGTAAGTAA